TGTTTATAACTGAATAATTTATGCCCCTGGTTATAACGGGATTGCGGGATGTATCCGTCAAAACGTTTTTAGACACCCCCCCCCCGTCAGAGCTCCCCGTCACATTTCCCCCTTTGTCACAACGCCCACTGTCATATGTCCCCATGGCCACAAACCCCCAATGTCATTAGTTACCCATGGCCACAATCCCGCACTGCCATTTCTCCCCACTGTCAAAGCCCTCAACTGTCAGAGCCCACTGTCATTGGTTCCTGCTTTAATGGGCCCCCCACCCCACTATCAAGGGTTCCTACTGTGAGACTTACGTGAGAAAAGCCCAGACATGTCTTTCTGTTTGTATACCCAGACACGTCTTTCTGTTTGTATACCCAGACGTCTTTCTGTTGTATACCCAGACACGTCTTTCTGTTTGTATACCCATACATGTCTTTCTGTTTGTATACCCAGACGCTCAGCGCTAGCTGAAAAAAACAACAACACATTTTTTGCGTCCAAAGTTGGTACGCTACACCCCTCCCCCCCCACACACACACACCCTCCCCCCACACTCCTCCGCTCCGCCCCCCCCCCAACCGAAGCCAAAACTGGTTTGTGAAAATTGACTGAAAGACACGCTTGCTTGAAGAGCAGAGAACAAATTCCTTGGTGTACCTTATATAGTGTACTTTACGCTTTGTGCTATGGACGTAAGGCAACCTTACGTTGTGTTAACCAAGAATGTAAAATTCTGGAAGAAGCGCCTATAGCGCACGGCCACGGCACGCCCGATTCCACCGGGTCGATCAGTTCGATTCCGCATTGGGCCCCGGCTTCCGTACATTCCCATTGCTACAAGAAATGGCCACTAGGTGGCGTCAGGCTCAGAAGAGGGGGTCATCTAACCGGCAGACGTCAAGATGGGCATAAATGATGGACACGCAGTTCGTCGGAAAACGCCAGAGGCCGGGACATTCCCTAAACTTTCGGGGACGTCGGGACGGGGGTTGCCTGTCATGGGGTAAAACCGGGACGACTGGTGAAAATGAATAAGCACTACATGGCACCAGCGCCGAAAACAACTTTTTTTTTTTTTTTGGCGTCATATTAACAAGTGCGACCAAAGATCCGGCAAAGTAGATANGATAGAGGGGAGAGAGAGAGAGAAAGAGAGAGAGTGGAGAGAGGGGGGAGAGATAGAGAGAGAGAGGGGAGAGAGAGAGAGAGAGAAAGAGAAAGAGGGGAGAGAGGGGGGAGAGAGAGAGAGGAGGAGTAGAGAGGGGGAGAGAGAGTGAGAGAGATAGAGAGAGAGTGGGAGAGAGAGAGGGAGAGAGAGAGAGGGAGAGAGAGAGAGGGAGAGAGAGGGGCAGAGAGTGGGAGAGAGAGGGAGAGAGAGAGAGAGGGGGAAAGAAAGGGAGAGGCAGGAAAGCTGGAATGCACGTTTAATCTAGGTAAAGACACGCTCAAAGGGATTCCAACAGACGACGCTGAAGCAGACAGCGACGAGGCCATGACAGGCAGTTCCGGGTCACATAACAACAAGAACACAGCACAGGAACTGCTCATTCCTGCCAAAGACAATCAGGGACTGGAACAAGCTTCAAAAAAGGAACAGTTGAGGTGAAAACACTTGACACATTTGCGTCTATTGCCTCGCAGGCCTTCCGACTCCCAGTTCCCGTGAAACATCCTCTTCAATAGCAGGCACAGAAACATCGCGAATCCCCTCTACATAAACAGGAGCCAGAATAATCAATACATTGATCGCGGGCCCTCAAGAGACAGATGAAGAAGCTGGAGTAGAGCCGACATCTGGTGAACAATCAGCAGTACGAGAAGTAGATGCCGAATCTCATCAAAACAATGGGTGACAACTGTAACGTGGCCGGCATTATGTAATGCTGTATCACGCCGAGTATTTCGTGGATCTACGCCACGCAGCTGAAATTGGCGACACACATGCTCAGCAAAGGTCAAAGCAAAGGTCAAAGTGAGCACAATAATTGGCTTCTTTAGGTCGGAGTTGGACACCTGAAATAATTTACAGGACTATTCTAACCTGGAAATAATAATTGAGATTCCCCGACAAATGATCTTCCGAAAATCTCATCGAATCCTTCCTTTGATCGGATGTCCATCAGTGGTGTGTCGATGAGCTATCACAACTTCTATGCCAACTACAAGAACCGTCTTCCTTAAATTGGCCCTAGACGTATGGCCCGTTTTATACCGAATGTTCATCAGTGGTGTGTCGATGAGCTATCACAACTTCTATGCCAACTACAAGAACCGTCTTCCTTAAACTTGGCCCTAGACGTATGGCCCGTTTATACCGACTTTTGAGAAAGCTTGCAAAATAAAAAATTTTCTGAAAAAAAAAAATGAAATAAATTCTGCGCCTTCTTGGGTTTCCACGGATTATTTCTGGTTTTCTAATAAATTTTAAGGTGAAAAAAAGGTCTAACTTCTATAATATATTTATCATTCATTACTTGTCTCTAGCCTGCCATATACACAAGACTGTAAATGACAATAATTCCAATAAAAAAATTTCTCCAAATTATAGATTCATAAGTGAAACGTCTTCATGGCTTTCATACATAACCGTAAAAGTTAACCAATAATGTTTAATTTAACAATAAAACTAAAAAGACAATTCATAATATATTATAAATTATGTAATAACTTCAACTTAAACGAATATTGCACTAATAACAGGACATGTTAGTGAAGAAGTTTCTTTTCACTTCAGTCGAGCTCCTACTTTAATAGTAAGACTGATATTCATATAGTTTAGAAATGAAAAAAAACAACAAAAACTTATTATTTGGGTATCTCTGAAATATATCTTTTTTATGTTAGCGAATAGAAGCTTAAGTTTTACATTTTATATCAATTATCAAATTGTATAATACCATATAATCAAAACTGTGGTATGATTTGGCCCAAAAACGTCAATCAATAATGGGCAACTTTTTATTTTCATTGCAAAGGAATTTACGCATGAGATCTGCTAATATTTTAGGAACAAAATGGATGGGCCGATTGTTTTAAAGTTATATTAATTAGTAAAAAAAAAACACACACCAAAACTGTGATGTTTAGTAATGAAAAGAGACCAAATTCCTCTATGGTGAAAGTGTCCAAGAGATGCCCAGGTTACAGATCAGCAGTGGTAGGTTACTCTCTGTTGGAAAACATGTCTGACCTTTGACCAGCGACCCACTTCATCACCTCGGTGTCATCAAGAACAAGTTCTTGCAAACCGTGTCCATCATTTATGCACTAGTATAGCAGTTGCCATCTTTAGGGTAGAACAGAGTTTCCGCATGGTTCTGTCGTGTAATACACAGCATTAGGACAAATGGAACCTACTAGAGCAAAGTAATTACTAGATGTTAGCAATTCAGAGTCATAGACAAAAAAAAAAAGATAATATGTGTGTTGTGTCATTCCTGTTTGTGTAATGACAGTTTGAGGAGCGTTGACGGACACAGTTCAGAAAATGGGACAGTTATTCTGAATGAAAAGTCAGAGGGAAATTCCCAACATGTGTTATAATAATTCCGGCTGTTCTCAAAATAAATTTGTTTAGCGTTAGGGGGTAAAAGCTAGTGTAACGTGTTATGTAAAATTTTATTTAAATTTATGCATTTTTAAAAAAAAGTTTGTGATGCCAATGATGGCATTAGCTAGTGTGTCTAAAAGTGTGTATTTTGTCTTTAAACTAAACAATTAAGAAACTGGTTTTACATACACAACTGCGTATTAAGCATTATCTTATTTTAACCCCCATTATAATTAGCATTTAAAAAAAAAACGAAATGAATTATTTCCGTTGCGGAAGTTGTGCGTACTATACGGCGCTTGCGTACACTCGCTAAGGATATGGTTAGAGAGTCCGTAAAGCCTTCTCTTTATTTCTAAAGATGCACAAAGATAAATGATACAGAAATCCCACTCGACATGTCTTAAGCTTTAAACTACTATACCATTTTATAGCATCCAAGAAGAAAACATGGCGCCATTTTGTTGATGCCTGCCCCAATGGAGTGTTTGAGAACTGTTGTGCCATTACGTATATTTCCACAAAAAAGAAAAGAGTGTACGTGTGTCAATTTTTTTGGGATAAACGAAATGGCGCAAATACAGTCGTACATGTCCCTTCACGGTTCACACGTATTTAGCTTAACTGAAACTTACTTTACGGAGTCTGATGCAGGTCAGCTCTCTGTACTACATACAATGGACATAATGCAAGGGGCGAGGGCTCAAGGTGGGACACCCGGCGAAATAAAAGAAAGGTGTGACAAAGTGAGAGAAATACTGAAGGTGATCAAATATCGAAGGTAATAAAATATCAAAAGTAATGAAATATCGAAGGTAATCAAATATCGAAGACCTTGCTGCAGCTATTGAGAAAAGTTATTTGAAGTTTATAATTATAATTACCACTTAATTGCTTGCATTACAAAACCTAAGGGGATAAAATGGTCTTTTGTTGTTACTCTGAGCATTTCGGGTACAACACAAGTATATCAGACATTATTGTGCAGAATAAGCATTCACAAGTTCTCCCCCCAGTCAAACGCCCATGCATGTTGGGCCAATGATCAGCTTTTATGAGTTCCGGAAATAGGAATGGCGTTCAATAAATAGGACGGGCGTAACTATATTTACGAAAATTGAGTCAATTCTGATTTAATGACGATACTCTCTACACCAGCCTCAGTCAAAGTAGACGTGCTAGCCCAACGGTTCTCAAATGTGTCGGTCACTGTAGCCTTTCGACCGATTGCATCACATGAAACACTGACAGCAGATATTCGACTTGGATCCCGTTGTAGGCAGTTAGACATCAGACATTTCGCGTGGATCTTTTAAGGAACGCAATCAGACAGCATAACTATGCCTTGGATGCTACTGAAGACAATCTGAACACAGACATTTTGCCTTGAATCCCGCTGTGGACAAGACAATCTGTACACAGATATTTTGCCTTGAATGCCGCTGTGGACACTCTGACAGTAGATGTACGCTTTGTATCCTAATGAAGACAGTCAGACAACAGACATCTGCCGCAGTTCCTGTTAAACACAATCAGTCAGAAGTGTGGCTTGGATCCTACTGAAGACCACCTAAACACAGACATTTGCATTGAATCCCGCTGTAGACATTCTCAATGCTAACATACGCATTGGTGCTTTTGAAAGAAGACAAACTTTAGACATTCTCCTCGACATTACCAAACACATACAATAGAAGTCTTGGGGGTAGTGTTACGGCATCAACCAGCAGAGTTAAAACAATGGCCAAGCATTACTTCCACGTCGGAGACTTTATCGTCTTCGGACTGACCGTCGTCATATCGATAGCCATTGGGATTTACTACGCTCTCTCCGGCGGGAGGCAGAAAACTACTGCAGGTAAGAGCGCGTGGGTGTCGTCATTTGACACGTTATGCATTCTAAATATCTAAAATTACCTAAGGTCTAAGTGCATCATAATACCTTTTGGTGTCAGCATGGGGAAGCAACTCTCATTTGAGACCGTGGTGCTCATCGATTTTTAGTTTTATTCACGTACTCAGTCAACTTTAAAAAAAAAAAGAAAATAATATTGCATAATTAAATTATCAAAACTTATCGCAGGCTGGACATTGGTGGAATACTCACCTGCCACGCTAGTGACTTGTGCTCGAATCAATTAAGAGCGAATGTCTCCTCCGTGCCTATGATCCGTTTCCCCCCGCATCCCTTGAACTGCCACCCTAACCCCAAACAGTATCTTTAAAAAAAAAGAAAGATGTTTTAGCCTTTCATTATGAAAAATGATTATATTGTGATCTTATAGTGATTCTATGTTGATTTTATAATGATTATATAGTTATATTGTGATTATAAAACACGTAAAAAAGATTAAAGTGCAGTTTACATATATTTTTCAGAAAAATAATTTCTTTCTTCCAATTTGTAAAGATATAAAAAGTTTATTGTATAACATAACGCAACCGTATAGTGTCACACTTTTTGGTTAAAATTTCATCCGTTTTCATGACGTAACATTCTTCCTCTTGGCAGAATTCCTGGTGGGCGGTCGCACCATGAGCTTTCTGCCCGTGGCCGTGTCCCTGCTGGTCAGCTTCGAGTCGTCCATCATGATGCTGGGCCTGCCGGCCGAGACGTACGTCTACGGCATCCAGTACCTGATGGGCTCCGTGGGGCTGGTCACCGCCATGCTCCTCAATGTCCACATCGTGGTCCCGATGCTGCACCCGCTCAAGATCACCAGCGCCTACGAGGTGCCCCCCGGGGGTGGGGGATCGGTGGTCACGGGAGGGGGGCGGGGGGAGGGGGTGTTAATTAATCATCTGAGAAGTGAACGTCTTTTCGTGTGTGTGTAATTGTATGTGTGTGTTTATGTGTCTTTGTGTGCGCGTGTGTGTGTGTGTGTTTGTGTGTTTGTGTGTGTGTGTGCATGTGTGTATTCGTATGTGTGTGTTTGTGTGTGTACGGGCGCGTGTGTTAGTGTATGCATGTGCGTGTTATAAATTTGAAAGGACTAAGTAAGCAGGCGTCGGTTAGACCAACACCAATGTTCATTAGCAGACGTCATAAACAATTCAGTGTGTCTTTAGATGCGGACGTTTAGAGTAGCACAGTGGGCAGTGATTCTCAATTAGACCACCACTTATGTACTTATGTTTACGGCTAACTGTTATGTCTACAGTACCTAGAGCTTCGATTCCAGTCCAGGGCGGTTCGATACCTTGGGACTATCATGGGCATGCTGACTTACGTAAGTACATACATCGATACTGTCAATCTTAACGCTCATCGACATGTGAGAGCGATACCTTAAGGTAGCTTAAGATACTGGCTAATTGAAAATAATCAGCATTTGGGGGAGGGGGAGGTGCGGTTTGCTGTAGTAAAGCCGTGTGGGGCCGTCCATAAAGTACGTCACGCTATTTTCTCCTCACATTTTTACCCTCCCCCCCCCCCAACCTTTTTTTCCCAATCAGTCACAAATCTGAGACAACCCCCTTCCCACATTAGTTCACACTCTCTAACTATAACGATTGTTTAGAAAAAAAAATGCTAATTAAAATATTTTCCCCTCACATTTTTTCCCCCCCCCCCCCCCAACCTTTTTTTCCCAATCAGTCACAAATCTGAGACAACCCCCTTCCCACATTAGTTCACACTCTCTAACTATAACGATTGTTTAGAAAAAAAAATGCTAATTAAAATTTAATCTAAAAAAAATTAATAAAAAACACTTTTAAACAATTAAATTTATAAAATTGACATCTTCTGTCAGAATACACCCATCACAACAGAAAGTTCAACAACATGTCAGTTTCGTGTATGCTTAAAAGTATAATGGTGTGGTAAAACTGCATCACGTCTACATCTCCAGGTTAACGATTTTCAATACTTCCGTGTCACGTGTGCTCTTCCTGGGCCCCATGTTTTTTTTTACCAAAGCCAACCGTTAAATTGTTGTTAAATTATATTTTATTCCATTGGCAGACGTGGTACATGGGTATTGTACTCTTTGGACCGGCAGTAGCTTTAGAAGCAGGTGAGTCGAAAACGTCTTCTATCTTTTTAATAATAAAATTAATGCGCTTTAACTTTCCACTATTTCTTTGGTACTTTGTAATATTGGGGTGATTGTAGTGTCAAAAAACAACAACAACAACAGCAGAGCGATATTACTTAAGTGTGCAAGTGTCTTCCTAAAATGCACATTTATACACGTAAGCCATGTTTCTTTGAATAATTGCTGTTTTTTTTTTAATTAAGCTGGTTCACTTTATTTTTAGACTATAATAGTTTTTTGTTTTAAAAAAAAAAAACAACTTTCGGCCAAATTGTCGTAATGATCATTATATTTTATTCGCCATTTTTCCAGTGACCGACTTCCCGCTGTGGAGCTCTATATTTGTCATCTCCTTCGTTTCTGTCATATACACGTCCATAGTAAGTATGATGGGCAGGCAGTGGGGGTGGGGGATGGTATGAATAGTGATGGTGTTGGGTCGATAACGGTAGGAACCCTTGATAGTTGGTTGGGGGGTGGGGAGGTCCATTAAAGCAGGAACCAATGATAGTGGGCACTGACATTAGGGGGGCTTTGACAGTGGGGAGAAATGGCAGTGCGGGATTGTGGTCATGGGGACATATGACAGTGGGGGTTGTGACAGAGGGGGAATGTGACGGGGAGCTCTGACAGGGGGGGGGTGTCTTAAAATGTTTTGGCGGATACATCCCACTATGTAGTAATAACAAGTGGCATACTTTATCCAGTTATAAAAAGTGACATATTTTATCCAGTTATAAATAAACAATGGCGTACTTGATCCAGTTATAAACAAAGGCGTACTTTATCCAGGGTGGGCTGAAGGCTGTTGTGTGGACGGATGTTTTCCAGGCAGTCATCATGCTTGCTGGTGTTTTGGCGATACTCATCAAGGTATTTATGTTTGGGCGATACTCATCAAGGTATTTATGTTTGGCGATACTCATCAAGGTATTTATGTTTTGGCGATACTCATCAAGGTATTTATGTTTTGGCTGTATATATATATATATATATATTCCGATAATTTATTTTGTATGCGCTCAACTTATTTAACTATTATTAACTAAAGCAGGCCTGCACAACTCAGAACGTTCCAAACACACTAAACGTTTTTAGTGCAGCTTCGCAAAGATTTTTCTACTCCCCACGGTCCAGATTTTATGAAGAAAACATGTAGTGCATATTTACACAACCGTAAAGATTTAGTAATTTAATTTGATTTAATAATATTTTTTTTTTTTAAATTTCAATTATACGTCGGGGAAAATCCCCCGAAATTGTACATTTATTAATTATTTAAAAATGAAATACGTTTTTTAAAATCATTTTTCTGTGTATGTAGTTTTTGAGATATTATAAATCGACAAGCTAGGGAATACTATTTTTAATTTACAATATTATGAATTTTTCACCAAAGTCTTCGGGGGCCGCAAAGTGGGTGCTAGCGGGCTGCATGCGGCCCGCGGGCCGTGTGTTGCGCAGACCTGAACATAGTTTCTGCTTTCTTGTCTTCAGTGTGAACCAATTTTATAGACGCATCATGACCGGCGACCCCATAACAATTAAAAAAAAAAGAAAGAAAGAAAGAAAACGGTACGAGAGAACAGATCGGAGATGTGTTATGGACTTATTATAGTACACATTGCTGGTCATCCACTGCATCCTGGCGTGTTCCAGTCGTCTTGACTTAGGCTTGCCATTGGAAAAAATAGGCAAGGACGAGACAGTGAGGCTGCAGAATGGAGCAACTCCACCCTCACTTTAAACAAAATGCAACACAACTCAGGCTGCTCCCTAGTCATTGCCCAAGTCAGGCTGCTTGTCAAGCCATTTCCCAAGTCAGGCTGCTTGTCAAGTCATTTCCCAAGTCAGGCTGCTTCTCAAGTCATTGCCCAAGTCATCCTGCTACTCAATCCATTTCCCAAGTCAGGCTGCTTCTCAAGTCATTTCCCAAGTCAGCCTGCTACTCAATCCATTTCCCAAGTCTGGCTGCTAATCAAACCATTTCCCAAGTCAGGCTGCTACTCAAGTCATTTCCCAAGTCAGCCTGCTACTCAAGCCAGTTCCCAAGTCTGGCTGCTACTCAATCCATTTCCCAAGTCAGGCTGCTCAAGTCATTGCCCAAGTCAGCCTGCTACTCAATCCATTTCCCAAGTCAGGCTGCTTCTCAAGTCATTTCCCAAGTCAGCCTGCTACTCAAGCCATTGCCCAAGTCAGGCTGCTAATCAAACCATTTCCCAAGTCAGGCTGCTTCTCAAGTCATTTCCCAAGTCAGCCTGCTACTCAATCCAGTTCCCAAGTCTGGCTGCTACTCAATCCATTTCCCAAGTCAGGCTGCTTCTCAAGTCATTGCCCAAGTCAGCCTGCTACTCAATCCATTTCCCAAGTCTGGCTGCTACTCAATCCATTTCCAAATTCAGGCTGTTACTCAAGCCATTGCCCAAGTCAGGCTGCTACTCAAGTCATTTCTCAAGTCAGGCTGCTATTCAAGTCATTGCCCAAGTCAGGCTGTTTCTCAAGTCATTGCCCAAGTCAGGCTGCTACTCAAATCATTTCCCAAGTCAGGCTGCTACACAAGCCATTTCCCAAGTCAGGCTGCTTCTCAAATCATTTCCCAAGTCAGGCTGCTACTCAAATCATTTCCCAAGTCAGGCTGCTACTCAAATCCATTTCCCAAGTCAGGCTGCTACACAAGCCATTTCCCAAGTCAGGCTGCTTCTCAAATCATTTCCCAAGTCAGGCTGCTACTCAAATCATTTCCCAAGTCAGGATGCTTCTCAAATCATTTCCCAAGTCAGGCCGTTACTCAAATCATTTCCCAAGTCAGGCTGCTACTCAAATCCATTTCCCAAGTCAGGCTGCTCCTCAAATTATTTCCCAAGTCAGGCTGCTCCTCAAGTCATTGCCCAAGTCAGGCTGCTCCTCAAGTCATTGCCCAAGTCAGGCTGCTCCTCAAGTCATGCAGGACTTATTAAGGCTCGCAAACAAGAAATTATTATTTATTTAAAAATCATCTTTTAAAATTAGTTTTTTTAGTTTAATGCTTGATTCCCCCCCCCCCCCCCGTGACCCCATTCGTAGGGTAGCAAACCATTCAATGAGAATAAGGGAGTTAAACAGTACACAATCTTTTTAAAATGACGCTAGTCAAATATTTCTCATAAATTTGGTTCACAACTTAATTCATGGCGTGACGTATGTTTTCAATGACAAAAAAAAAAAAAAATTATAATAAAAGAAAGAATGTGATGCTTAATAACAAATGGGAGGAAAAAACAGCAACTGTAATCGGAATAAACCACTGCCTGTGATCTGTTTCATTTTGGACAAATCATTATTTATTTCTGTGTAGACTGCAATGTAAGTTACTTTTGAGATAACGGGCTTTCATTCGTACCGACCGGAAAGAAAAGGGGAATGGAAAACAATTAATAAATTGTAATACCACAATGGGTTAAGCCCCTTGCTGGCAATATTGCAACCATGTATGAATTGTTTATTGATCACTATCTACAGCCATGTATGAATTGTTTATTGATCACTATCTACAACCGTGTATGAATTGTTTATTGATCACTATCTACAGCCATGTATGAATTGTTTATTGATCACTATCTACAACTATGTATGAATTGTTTATTGATCACTATCTACAACCGTGTATGAATTGTTTATTGATCACTATCTACAGCCCGCAAAACAATGGCGACCACAATGCGTGAACTGCCAATCTACTTAATTTACTTTAAAAAAAATTGCATTCAAATAAAGCATTTTAAAGATCCCCAATTAGTACAATCATCCCCCTTTTACTCCTATGCGGAAATACATTGTTATAAATTATGCTTTACGTAAAAAAAACATCTTCTTAAAATAGTGACATCCCGTAATGCGATGTGACATTATCCGTTCTTAGACATGACAAACCCTTTTCTGATTCCTTAGGTTAATATGAAAGCGGAAGCTGAACTACATGATAAATCATTTTACCATTTTTAACATTCAAATTATTCTTATGGTCCATTATTTCAGGGGACATCGGATGTCGGTGGGCCAAAGAAGGTCTGGGACATCGCCGAGAGGGGCGGGCGTTTTAACTTCTTTAAGTGAGTGTCTAAAATGTCTCGTCATTTTGACTCTACCACAATGCCTTACATACTTCTGCTGTTTATTTTGATTGATGGCCAATACATTAATGAGTGGCCAAATTCATTGATATATATATAAATATTTTTTAATACATTTTTTTTATTTCTACTGTTTTTTTTTTCAATTGCATCATATTCTCTAAATCAGTAATTCTCAAATTATTGCAAATGTACCACTGGTGTGACCATACTTTGTTCCAGGGGAATTACCAGGGAGTTTAAACGCGTAACGAAACCAATTAGGTCGGCAGCCATCCAATTTAAATGAGACAAATGTAAATGCTGGTCAACTAGCTTTGCTAGTTTATCCAAGTTTTACATTACAAAAAGAATAAGAACCCCCATAGTCCAAGCTTAACCACGCTGCGATATATGCTACACACCTACTTTCTTGCCTAATTAATTTTTTTGGTGTCTTTTTTTTCTATCTCGCCCTTAGCTTTGACCCTGACCCCCGCACACGGCACACGTTCTGGTGTCTATTTTCCGGCGCCGCCATCCGGGGGTTCAGCCTCGGTTTCAACCAAAGCACCGTGCAGAGGATCAGCAGCACCAGGACGCTGGCGGAGGCCAAGAGGATGCTGACGATCGTCGCCCCGTGCCTCGTGTTCTCGCTGTTCCTGGCCCAGTACGAAGGCATCGTGGCGTTTTCGTATTACACGGTCAAGAGATGTGATCCCTTTGAGTCCAAACAGATAAACGACCCCAATCAGGTGAGTGGTACAGTTGTTCAAACAAATCAAATACAGTAGCGGTACAGTTGGTTAAACAAATCAAATACAGTAGCGGTACAGTTGGTTAAACAAATCAAATACAGTAGCGGTACAGTTGGTCAAACAAATCAAATACAGTAGCGGTACAGTTCGTTAAACAAATCAAATACAGTGGCGTCACAGGGGACTAAATGGCTGACGGGGGGGGGCATTGGGTGGGCCCGCACCTAGTGACATCCTCCCACGCGGGGGACATCAAATGGAAAGTTAAGAGTTGGCAGAGTTTGGTCCAAACGGTAAAATCGTAGTTACACAAGAGCGAGTTGCCTAAAGAGCAGGGGCGTCATCAGAGCTGGCAGACTTTAGGGAGGGTATTGGAAAAGGGAGGGGGGGGGGGCTGATACTATGAGTTTACCCTACGTGCTAACTAATGTTCCCTTTAAGGTTTGTTGGTTCGTGTGCAAAATTATACAGTTGTGTGCAAAGTTTTACAGCATCATTTTTGCGTGTGCAAAATTTTACAGCCCACAAACTCAAACACACACTTACATGGAAATTTGCTGCGCGTATACTCAAAACTGCTGGGCAGCGTCTGTGAGATAGCTGCGCCGCCGCACAGCCGCGCAGCTTAAAGGGAATATTGATGCTAATACCAAACCAAGTGACGTCACTGCCAAAGTAGTTTTTTTTAAAACCCTTTTAAGAACAAAAACAACCAACCATAAATGTAAATATGATAAGTTCAGAACTCAAACGACATTAATCAAAAGAGTCATTCAACGTTAACAACGGCACTGAACTATTTGACGCTCTGATTTTGTAAATAGCCATCACCTTTAATGAAAATTTTTGGGGTTTAGGAATATGCTGTCATGGCGTCAATGAAATTTTTCATCGAAACTTAGTTCCCTTGCAGAATTTTTTTTTGTGTACCCTTTCAGATCATTCCATATTTTGTGATGGACATTTTCGAAGGTCTGCCAGGTATGCCTGGGCTTTTTTTGGCTTCGCTGTTCAGTGCTTCTTTGAGGTCAGTTCATTTACTTATAAAATAAATCATTTTAATGCATGTTTTTAAAAAAAAATAAGTTAAGGCAAACGGCAGACATTTGCATCACCACACCAAAACATTGTTTAAAAATTTTTTTTAATAAATTACTTCATAAATTGATGTATACTTTTTTTTGCTTCTCATAAAATCCTCTGAATGTTTGTTTACCTTTCTAACGTTTCATCCCTACACTATGGAAGCAGATTTGTCACTCTTAGAACACTATCTTGACCGACTTGTCACTTTGTGTAGGCTACACTACGCCAACAGGCTTGTCACTGTGTGTAGGCTACGCCAAGGATGATCATTACGATGTCCTGGTATTAACAATAAGAAATTGTTGAAGTGTTAAACAATCCTACCTCTAAACCCCCCCCCCCCAACCCCTTTTTTCTCCACTTTTCTTTCACGCCCCTCTAGCACCCTGTCATCAGGGCTCAGCAGTCTGTCCGCTCTATTGTGGGCAGACATCGTCCAGCCTTTGGTGGGACCACATTTATCGGAAACCAGGGCCACCATCGTAGCCAAGGGCTCAGGTCTGTATTGTATTCGGTGATGTCCTTGACGTGGCTGACCGTGGTGCCACCGTGGTGCCACCGTGGTACCACCGCGTCATCCGGTTGTTTTAGTCATTTGTATTTGTTTACACATAGGGGTTGGTTTACTTTTGTGCACTTGGAAAGGGGGGGGGAGGCTGGGTATATTTTGTGCATTTGTAGGGGGGCTGGGTTTATTTTGTGCACTCATGTGGGTTAGTTTATTTTTGTGCGCTCAGGTTGTTGAGTTTATTGCTCTTTGCTGAGTGTTTTTTGTTGTTGTTTTGTTTCGTTAAAGCCTTTGTGAATTGTGATGGGTTGTTTTTTTTTTTACAAATTATTACTTTTTCATTTTTTTCACTGTCCCGATTACATGGCATCAAAGAAGCGACAATTGAACCAAGCATTTTTAAATTGTTTACATTCCAGTTGTGTTGTTCGGCATCCTGGCCTGCGCGGTCGCCATTTTAGTGGCTCAGATCGGTGGGACTTTGACCCAGGTACGAGGTTGCGCTAAGATCCAGTTGAAATTTCGAAAAGTTCGATTGCATGAAACAAAAAAATGTTCCTGTAACAAAAAGTTTATGGAAGTGTGAAAAAAAAAAAGTATGCTTTGCTATAAATAATATGGAATAGCATAAAAAGGTTTAAAAGTATACACCGTTAAAATCATTAAACTTTATATCCCGTGCCAAGATCGCCGGAAGCCTGGTGGCTGCGTTCAATGGACCTTTGACAGGGCTCTTCTTCCTTGGATCTTTCTTCCCCCGCGTAAAGGCGAATGTGAGTGAATTTTGGTCATATATTTAAATAGGAAAACAATAAGATACAGTCACTCAAAGATCGGACTCATTAGCCATTCGAGAATCATACTGATTAGTCAATCAAGGACAGAACTCATTGGTCAACTCAAATGTCCGGACTCAAGAAGGTTATTCAAGAAGATGCAAAAATGTTTCACACACGATGAAGGATGGATACTAATCAATGATGCCTCCAAAGGTTGTGGGGTTGGGGGGGGGGGGATGGTGAAGAAGTTTATTCTCCAGGTTCCCTCATGATGGGGCTAAACAATTTAAGTTTTTTTTTAAATATGACAAATAATAAATGAACACCTTAGAAATTATAACACTATAAGACTACTAGTTTAAACAAAATTGAAGATCTAATTTGCTGTGTATGTCTGGAACTAACTGTGTTAGCAACATAGAGAAACTCGTGGGACGGATTTGTATTTTCAGAATGTGTAGTTCTCCCGACCTACACCCCCCCCCCCCCCCCAACCTTTAATTTTTAGAAAACGACCAAACAATCGAGCGAAGTCCTTTTGATAGTTCTTATTTTAAAGATAATCGAAAGAACCTCAATCCAAAAATTTATTTTAAAAGACGCTGACATCTCAAAGATTAATTATATTTAAAAACATTCGTCATTTTGGACGGGTATCAATCACTGCCAACCTCTTGTTTTTTTTCCCCAGGGGGCGCTGTTCGGTGGAGTCATCGGCCTCGTCTTCTCATTTTGGTTGTCTCTCGGCATCGTGTTCTCTCCCTCGGTCAAACCAACCCCATGGATGTCCCCGGCGCCAACAGACAGCTGCCCGCTCAATGGCGCCACGGGTGTCAACGTCAGTGAACTTTGGGGTAACGTGACCGTCGTCGGGGATGGCTACAGCAACGTGTACAACTTCAGCAACTTGTCCTTGGACCATTCCACGGTTGGCGTGTCACCACTGGACAGTCGCGGCGAACCGTAAGTTTGAAGGAAAAAAAAAACAAACAAAAAGCCCCACCTGTTTTAAACAAACTCGACTATATGAATATATACGTCGACATTTCGATCTTCTAATGTTTGGTTAATCCCCCCCCCCCCCCGGCCTACTCCAATTGTAATTAACAGCGTAGTTTGATTGATTGATTGATTTGATAGTTCTATCGCGCTGGTATCCATGCCACTTTAACATGCTCAGTGCGCTCTGGTCCTCCGAAATCTATTTAAACAAAAACATTTTTATTGTTTCTTAAATGATTTTTTATTATTTGCAATTCCCCTCAAAGATTGAGGCAAACTGTTCCATAATTTTGGCGCCATCGCTTCAAAAGAGCGCACTCCGTAATGATTTTTTTCTGTGTTCATCCACACTATAAATAGGAACACTCAGTAAGTGCTGTGCTGCAGACCACAAGCTCTTCAAGAACATATGTTTATAAATAAGTTCCTTGAGATATTCCGGTGCTGAGCCATCTTTGCAGCTGTACGCCAGGGACAGAATTTTGTAGTTAATGTAGTGGAATTATTTTGATACTGTAAGTGTGCGAAACGACCCCCAGGTGCTAATCTACAGTGTTTCGCGACCCAGTTGATTTTCAATGATGACACTGTTCTGCGCGGATGCTCAAACAAAGAAACTGATTTGGTTGTAAATCAATAAATGTATGGACACGAATACGGCGTTTGTAACAATGGTATATTCCTACAGGCTTTCATGTGTTGCCAAGCGTAGATCAATATATATATAATACAATAATGATGCAAAGACAAATACAGAAAATAACTTTGAATGAAAACTCATCTACAAACTATGAGTGTGAGCTCCTTTTATTTTTATTTTCGAAGTTGAAAAAAATGTATGTTACGGGTGGGCAGCATACGGCCCACGGGCCACATGCGGACCGCTGAAACGCTAAAGCCTTTTAAAATTAATAATCACAGTGCCGAACTGTAGACACATTAAGTTGGGTTTTTTTTTAATGCCCATCTGCTTATTTTTCGAACTGAATTCGGAGTAAATTTTTTAAGCCCCTCTTCAATGACGTATATTAAAATTAGAGCTCTGAGTTCGTAGGAAATCATTGTAGTCCAGAGTCCAGACCAAAAAATTATTTTAAAAAAAAAGAATTCCCTTGCCACTCTCTGCATACACAGTTTTTCCGCCCTTATTCTATTCAAGGCTGTAAATGGCGATAATGAATCACATACCATTTAATAAACTTTGGATATTCCCATTCTTATTATAGGAATGTGGAATAATTCATTAAAAAATATCATTTTTCATTTTAATAACTCATATGAATTTTCGTCTGAACGATGCGTTAATTTAACCAAGCTTGACCCCAAATGAAAGCTTCTGATCTATGAGGAAAGCGATTTCTTTGTTTCTCTTTATTATTATTTTAATTTTAATTTTAATTTTTTTTTTTTTTTTGCAAGGGAAGGAATTGAGAAATTGTACACACTGTCTTACCAGTGGATTGCGGTTCTTGGGACGTTGAGTACTGTTGTATTAGCCTTGATTTACAGTTTATTCACTGGTGAGTCATTGTCCCCATGTCAAATAGTTCTATCCCCCTCACCCTTCCCCCCCCCCCACCATTTTCAGCTGCAGCCTTTAATATAAGTCCAACAATCCATAATTGAATCTACGCGCCTTTCGCGGTAAACTAAAGAAAATGATAGGACCCAGAATAGACAACGGTGATGGACTCTTTAAAACAAACAAACAAAACCCAGCTAACAATGTAAATATGGTTGTGCTTGGTATGTGTCATTAACAAAAAGCATCACGGGGTAAGATTGCTTTACACAGTGCTAGCAGGGCTGCCACACCTTGGGAAATTTCCCAAGATCTTGTGTGTGGGGGGGGGGGGGGGGATTCCACACCCCCTTAAGGGCCAAAAACCACTTTAAAAAAAAAAAAAATCACCAAAACCCTAAAAAAAACAACAACAAACTCTTATATATATTCATGATCTTGGGAAATCTTGGGAAATGTTTTGACCAAATCTTGGGAATTTAAAAAAATTGAATGGTAGCCCTGAGAGCTAGGATGTAATGTAACTGTTGAAAGGTAGAAGTGTAATTCTAGATGTCTCTTTACATGGGTTGCTGTTCCACGAACACCCCCGGGCAGGCACTAACAAACCCGGTGACGTGGATCCACGGTACCTGATTGGCATGTCGGGCACGTTCCTCATCTGCTGGCCGAAAAAAATACAAGATTACGTCGGCAGTTTGGGACCTCAGTACATCCGAGAGGAGTATAAGGTCAGTAGGTGCGGAGGTCATTGAACAATTTACGCCTGACTTTAAACGTTTTTTTCTTTAATGCCCAGATCCCTGAATTAAAAAAAAAAAGATCCAGATCCGCTCTTTGACGTCATACATCTTTCTCTTTTCTTTTTTTTACTTACCCCAGCTCAAAAGAAAAAATCTTCTTTAATGTATTTTTCAGTCTTTACCAATTCCTTCTTATAAGGGATTTTAATTTATGACAACGAATGTCAGGCATGAAACTGAAGTGATAAAATACAATAATAATGCTAAGGAATTCAATTGACCGCTTTTTTATATATAGAGAGATTTATGTTATTTTTGGGGTAAATACTAACAAGCAAGAAGTTATTTCGGGTATTTTTCGGGGGTTGGGGGGGGGGGGGGCCAAAACTTGACCGGCTTTTTTAGTTGTTTATTTTTGGAGACCCCACAGAAAAGCAATTTAAATTAAAAAATGCAACTTAAAAAAAGGGGAGGGGGTAATACCCAAATGACGTCACTGCTAATAAGATCTAAACTTCGTTTATAGAGCGTATAAATTGTATTATAGCTTATACCTTTAAACAAGATAGTGTAGGTAAAAAATGTTTTAGAGATCTATTTATGTGTTTACAACCCCATTCCATCCATCCCTGTTGTACTACAGCCATGAAGGGCTTTGGCATGCCTCGCCACAATCCTTCCACTCAGACCACCCATCCATGTGTCCCTACAGCCTATGTAGGGCTTTGGCCTGCGTCACCACAATCCTTCCACTCAAACCTAACTGATGATTTTATCTTCCATCATTCCCTACACATCAATTGAGCAAATGGCTACATCTATATACAACCTTCATGTTTACAACCTCCGCCTTCAGACCAGGTTTCCTGATCCCGCCAAATTCTTCGAGTTGAAAGGTACAGAGCTGGAAGTCAAGGTGATGATGGACAACCGTACCCAAGACTACGACAACATGACCAATGGTCACCTTCTGCTGGACCAAAGTTTACTATCGGACTCAGTAAAACCGGAACAAAATGGAGGACACACAGACGAATCACGTGACAGTCCTGACGACAGATCGTCTAAAATGAGACAGTGACTTTGGTTTGAAATAGTCCTCAAAAAAATGTTATGACATTGTAATGTATGAAAAAAATACATATTTTTTGTTACTGAATTAATATGCCTCTGAACTTATATGTTCCTAAATTTAAATGTAACTGACTTTATTTCGTAACGATTGTTCTTTAGTTATTGAATTTATTGGTTACTGACTTGTTTTTTCCCTTAGTAATTTTAAAAAAAAAATAATTAAAAAATCAGTTTTCGTGTGTTCGTCTTTAAATTCCAGAGCTCTTCCAACTAAAGGATTTATACATTTCAAATCTGTTGTTAACGTCGATACGGTCCAAAAGCTGGACAAAAAAAAAAATGGCAATCGCCATTTAGAGATCACATTTTTAGGATACAAAATTTAGTCCAGACGTTCATATTTTTAATACTATTATTAGTTTGTAAGTTTTTCCATGCGTCGCTTATCCAACGAATTGGTTAAACGTTTTTTAAATTCTAAAAAAATCCTTCAATAGAATGTTCTAGGTGAGCAAGAAAGTAGGGTGTACTGGTGAGTTCAATAGCGCGCGAAATAATGAAAGCCCCGATAACTGCGCTAAAATGAGTCATGCGAATAGCCCAAATGCGTTTGGTCGTTTTGTGCGAAATATTTCTTTTGTTTCGTGGTGATAGTCTCCATTTGAATATGGCATAATACGTCTACAGTGTATAGCGGGGTGGGACATAAGAATATGAACAGAGTTCAGGGGCGCGACGAAGGGCGTGGTGGCGTACCGTTGTCGGGGCGGCGTGGCACAAGTTGGGCTGGAGCTTCGCCTAAAGTGCTTTTCTTGAATGCGTGTTTTATCGATTAGTTTTAGCAGACGTTTGACTGCGCGTGATGACTGACGCTCAGCGCGCGCTGAAAGCAAATTGAAAAAAAAAGCCAATAAAAGCTATTCACTGAATCCTGGCGCGGTTGTTAAATACCAAATGATGCTTTACAAAATTAAATATAAACTTCTTAAAAAAAGACATGGACTTAAAAACAGTTTATGTAATGCATAATTAAATAAAGAAAGATAAGGCAGAAATATTCAAACCAAGTTGTCTTGTTCGGGGGGCTTCTCAATTTAATACCTTAGGCCTTCTGTCAGGATGTCTAAATGTGACCTTCTAAGGATTTGAACCGCGTACTTCTAGAAAGCTGATTGATACAATTTTTTTTTTTGGGGGGGGGGGGG